TTTTTCAACTGCATGCTTTCCACGAGGTTTTGTAGATTCTCCATCTTATTCTGTAATTTCCTGCAAGCGTTTTCGCTGGATTCCCCCGTTTGAATCGCTAGGGATTAAAATAGCCAGTCATGTAAACTATCGCAGATATATATAAAAAAAGTACACGCATTCAAAAATTTTTACTACCGGTTCTGTGGGCGTGGTTTGGTGGGGGTGGTGTTGCTTAGTGGGCGTGGCTTGGTGGGCGTGGCTTGGTGGCCGTGGCTTGGTGGGTGTGGCAGGGGGAGGATACTGCAAAATCTCCATTTCCACCCCACTCTGGGGCCAGCCGGAAGTGGTATTTGCTGGTTCTCCGAACTACTCAAAATTTCCGCTACCGGTTCTCTAGAACCTGTCTGAACCTGCTGGATTTCACCCCGGATCCGTAGGCAGGACTGCCAGCGATAAAGGAAAAGGCACCAGTCAGCTCATACAATTCAGTGTATTATGAGAAACACGTTATCAACACTGCTCAATGGCAGTTGGGTTGATCTACAACAGGGGTGTCAAACCAGGGATGGTATTCAGCCGGTTCGGACCGGTTCAGGCAAACCGGAAGCGGTGACCTGCGGGTGGGCCCATCCACCTGCCACGGCACTATGTTGTCCTATTTAGCCACATTTTCTAAGTCGCCCACGTGCGTGCAAGCCGTGCGCACAAGCAAAGCGCATGCGCAGAAGGCTGCCCGCACGCTCACACTTCCGGTGTGTGGCGAACCGGTGGTAAAATTATGTGAAACCCACCTCTGTGTCAAACTAGGTGTCTCTGAGGGCTGGATCAGCATTGAAGTTCTCTGCGGGCCAGCCAGGTGTGTGCATGTGGGGGAGGGGTGGCAGAGAGATGGGACGGACCGTTTGCAGCCCCCTGCAGTCCATTTTAGACCTCCACAGCTTCCCGCAGCACCCTGCTGGCCAAAATAGGGTACAGGGGGGACTGTGCGAGACCCTCCCGTGGTCCATTTTGGGCCAGCAGAATGCTGCAGGAAGCTGTGGAGGCTGAAAATGGGCTGCGGGGGGGGGGGGGGCTGCATACAATCCCCCCCTCACGTGCCCTGATTTGGCCAGTAGAAGCACCATGGGCCGGTCCTTTGATATTTCCAGACTGGCCCTGTGGCCCAGATCTAAGCACCCCACAGGCAGGATCCGGCCTTCAGTTTGACACCTCTGATCTACAACATTACATTATCATTTACAAAGTCGCGATTGCTTCAGAGCCAAACTAGATTGACGGGACTGGCAGAGCTGCTCGGCAGAGCCGAGGTGGCGCAGTGGTTAGGGTGTAGTACTGCAGGCCACTTCAGCTGACTGTTATCTGCAGTTCGGCGGTTCTAATCTCACCGGCTCAAGGTTGACTCAGCCTTCCATCCTTCCGAGGTGGGTGAAATGAGGACCCAGACTGTGGGGGCGATATGTTGACTCTGTAAACCGCTTAGAGAGGGCTGAAAGCCCTATGAAGCGGTATATAAGTCTAACTGCTATTGCTATTGCTCACAAAAACAAAGTTCATGGATTCCGAATCCATAATCCCCAACTTATGACCGCAATAAGAATCAGAATTGCTACTGCTAAACGAGGCGGTTGTTAAGCGAGCCACACCTAATTTTACCCCCCCCCCCCTTTTTTTTTGCCAAAGTTGTTGGGAACTGTCGTTCACAGTTAAGCGAGTAAGTGTCAAGCGAATCACTGCAGGCGTTAAGTGGATCACACAGTCCTTAAGCGAATCCGGATTCCTCCATCGACTTTGCTTGTCGAAAGCCGGCTGGGAAAGCTGCAAACGGAGATCGTGGGACTCCGGGATGCCGCAACCATCATAGATAGCGGCTGGGTTTTGACCGTGGGAATGCTTACCGTGGTTGTAAGCACGAAGACCAGTCCTAAATCATTTTTTTCCCCAGACTGCCATTGTAATTTTGAAAGGTCTCTAAACGGGTGGGTTGTAAACCGAGGACTATCTAAATGCATGGCTCCTTCCATGAAAAAGACGTGTGAACGTTTCCACTGCCCCTTTAAGGACTGAGCCCGCTTCATGTTATCCGCTAAGGGAGAAAAAGGCAGTGTAAACAGCCATGTTTGTCTCTGTCCATCTGTCCGTCATTGTGGGGGTTTCATCCCTGGAGGTTTTTAAGAAGAGACTGGACATCCACCTGTCTGAAATGGCACGGGGTCTCCTGCTTGAGCAGCGGGCTGGACTAGAAGACCTCCAAGGTCCCTTCGAGCTCTGTTTTGATTCTTTTTATGCAGACCAGTGTTTCTCAAGCTTGGCTGCTTGAAGATGGGTGGACTTCAACTCCCAGAATTCCCCAGCCAGCATGGCTGGCTGGGGAATTCTGGGAGTTGAAATCCACCCATCTTCAAGTGGCAGAGGTTGAGAAAAACAGTGGTGTAGACAGAATGTGTATCACTGGTGTAGCCAAAGCTCCCCTTATCATGTGTACTCAAATTTGCATTGCTTCTTCTTTTAACCAAAGCACATAGGCAAAACAACTAGGGCTGCATGAAGGTACACAAAATATTTTCAATTTGAACCCGGATGGAACACGGGATGGCCGCAAAGGATCCCATCTGCATGAAAGGGGAGGGAGCCAACGGACATGTTAAAATTTCCCGGGACCAAATCCCTTTCATGAAATGAATCAATTGCAGGACAAAACAATTAGACAGTCTCTCCCTCTCCCGCCTCCGTTTTTGCGAAAAATGCCCCATTCTTGGCCGGTTTTTCGCAAAAATGAGAGCATTTTTTCCTTTCCCCCAGCCCTGCTGAAGCCTGCAGAGTGCTTCTGGAGGCTGAGGGAAGGCAAAAACGCATCCGTTTTTTGCGAAAAACGGCCCATCTCTGCGACCTCTCTGGGACTGGCATGTGCACACCGTTAAAAAAAAGGGGGAAATTTACATTTTTTTCAATGAAGATTGTTCTGCGCATGTGCAGAACAGAAAATAAAGATGGCAGCATCCGGGATAGAACCGGTACGGTGTCTGGCCGGGTTACTAACACTCCCCCCCCCCATTTGACTTTGTGGCTATAGTGATCACCCTCTTTTAACAATCCCATAATCCCTTACGGCAGTGGTTCTCAACCTGTGGGTCAGGATCCCTTTGGGGGTCGAACGACCCTTTCAGAGGGGTCGCCTAAGACCATAGGAAAACACCTATTTTTCAAAAAAAATACAGAAAACATAAAATAATTTTATGGTTGGGGGTCGCCACAACATGAGGAACTGTATTAAAGGGTCACGGGCATTAGGAAGGTTGAGACCAGTGGTGGGATTCAATTTTTTTTTACTACCGGTTCTGTGGGCGTGGCTTGGTGGGCGTGGCAGGGGAAGGATACTGCAAAATCTCCATTCCCTCCCCACTCCAGGGGAAAATCCCCATTTCCTCCCTATCAGCTGGGACTCGGGAGGCAGAGAATAGATGGGGGCACGGCCAGCCAGAGGTGGTATTTATCGCTTCTCTAAACTACTCAAAATTTCTGCTACCGGTTCTCCAGAACTGGTCAGAACCTGCTGAATCCCACCTCTGGTTGAGACCCACTGCCTTACGGGGTGGAGTCTGGGCAACTGAATGGAGCTGAGTGTTTACTGGCCGGATGCCCATTCTGTCGCCAGTGCGGAGTTTCATTTAGCAGATATATTCTCAGGATGCCCAGAGAGAGAAATATCTGCCTCTCCCTAGGAGCAAACTCACAGGCTCCTAATTGTGATGCAAGAGCTCTGACTGCATCACATACAAGTGACTGTAGTCCTGTTTCTGAAATCTGTCTCTGTCATTAAATGAAAAAGGATTTACTCCATGAACGTCAGGGATCTGTTTAACTAAGGATCAGAACCTGATGATCCCCGGATCCATCAAAGGGGCCTACGTCAAGAGGAGAAATTTCTCGAGCGAAATGAATGTTAGAAGAAGTGGAGTTTAGCTGGCAACCCCATGGATGGTTTCCCCTCCCTTTCAGCTGTTATCCTAATCCCTAATCTTTAGGAACAGAATGAAGAAATCTGGTTAACTTTCAGGGATAATTGAGCCCAAATCCCTGAAATGTTTTATTTGTGGAGGAAAAATAAAATAAAAAGACGATCACATTAACCATAAAATATCCCTCTCATTGGAGAAGAGGGATTGAATTTCAGAATGAGGTTTACACTTCGCGGCAAGGCAAAATGCAGATTACAAATCCAGGCGGTCCTCAGTTTACGGCCACAGTTGAGCCCCAAATCTCTGTTGGGAAGAGAAACATTTGTTCAGTGAGTTTTTTTGCCCCTTTTTACAACTTCTCCCCATGGTTGTTAAGTGAACCACTGCAGCTGAGAAGTTAAGTCACCCTTATTGCCAAGTGAATCTGGCTTCCCCACTGATTTTGCTTGTGAGACGGTAGCAAAAGTGGATGACGTGACGCAGGGACACAGGAAAAGGCCATAGATGTGAACCAGTTGCCAAGCCTCGGAATTTTGATCACATGACCCTGGGGATGCGGCAACGGTCGTAACTGTGAAAAACGGCTGTGAGTCAACTTTTTCAGGGCTGCTCTAACTTTAGTCAGCACATGAACTTGTTGTAAGTCGAGGACTACCTGATCAAAATTCAGATGCTTGGCAGCTGCCTCGTATTTATGACGGTCGCAGTGCCCCAGGGTCACAAGATCCCTTTTGCGGGGAAGCCACTTAACAACCTTATTACTCACTTAACAGTTGCAGTGATTCACCTAACAACAAAGGATCTAAAATGGGGCAAAACTCACTTAACAGCTGCCTCACTGAGCAACAGAAATTGTGGGTCACAACTGTAGTCAGAGGTGGGTTGCTCCCGGTTTGGCCCAGTTCATTTGAACCGGTAGTGGAATTCAGGCTTGGATGGCAGAACCGGCTGTGACCCAGGCCTGACCCGCCTCGGAATTGGTTCCCTTGCTGCCGTTTGGGCGCCGCCATTTTGAATTTTAGTGACCCTGCGTACGCGGTTAACTGTAAATTGTTCTGTGCATGCGCGCAGAACAATTTACATGGAACAGTGCACATCTGGCACATATAGCACATGTTGCGTGCAGGTTTTGTGAACTGGCAGCAAGCCACCCCTAATTGTAGTTGTAAGTCCAGAACTAGGTATATTTTGTTTGACTTGTGTCGTGCCAGCCTGGAGTATACAATATTTATTTTCTCATTATTTCTGGGCATCGGGAAAGGGAATACATGCCAATTTTTCAGTACTGAAACAGCTTTATCAGTCACCAGCAATGCAGTGGGAAGTTGGGTGAAAAAAAATAGGAATATACTTACAAGCAGAGGTGCTGAAAGAAACACCTGTTTGGAAAGAAGAAGAAAAAACACCATGTCATGTTTCCATTGACAGAAAAAAACCCTTATCCACAGCACAAAAAACTCCCTCTATGAATTCTTACGCATGGTGGAATTCATTTTTTTTTACTATTGGTTTTGTGAGCATGGCTTGGTGGGTGTGGCTTGGTGGGCGTGGCAGGGGAAGGATACTGCAAAATCCTCATTCCCTCCCAATCAGTTGGGACTCGGGAAGCAGAGAAGAGATGGGGCGGGGCCAGCCAGAGGTGGTATTTACCGGTTCTCCGAAATACTCAAAATTTCCGCTACTGGTTCTCCAGAACCTGCTGAATACCACCTCTGGTATAAACCCAGGGGTGAAATTCAGCAGGTTCTGACAGGTTCTGGAGAACCAGTAGTGGAAATTTTGAGTAGTTCGGAGAATTGGCAAATACCATCTCTGGCTGGCCCCAGACTGGGGTGGAAATGAAGATTTTACAGTATCCTTCCCCTGGAGTGGAGAAGGAATGGAGATTTTGCAGAATCCTTCCCCTGGAGTAGAGAGGGAATGGAGATTTTGCAGTATCCTTCCCCTGGAGTGGAGAGGGAATGGAGATTTTGCAGTATCCTTCCCCTGGAGTGGAGAGGGAATGGAGATTTTACAGTATCCTTCCCCTGGAGTGGAGAAGGAATGGAGATTTTACAGTATCCTTCCCCCTGGAGTGGGGAGGGAATGTGGATTTTACAGTATCCTTCTCCTGGAGTGTGGAAGGAATGGGGATTTTGCAATATCCTTTCCCTGGAGTGGGGAAGGAATGGGGATTTTACAGTATCCTTTCCCTGAAGTGAGGAGGGAATGGGGATTTTGCAATATCCTTCCCCTGCCACATCCACCAAGCCATGCCATGCCCACAGAACCAATAGTAAAAATATTTGAATTTCACCACTGATATGGAACCATGTTGCCTCGCGTGCGCGGCATCACCTGTTCCTCTTCCGGTTACTGGTGCACATGAGCGCGTGACGATCAGCTAGCCTTTGTGCATGCGGCACTACCGGAAACTGGAAGAGCTGGTCTTCCATTTTCCAGCGTGAGCATGTATGCTGGCCAGCTGATCGTCACACGTGCATGCATGCCAGTAACCAGATCTCTAACTGGCTGGCGCACATGTGCGCACCGGAAACCGGAAGTGCATTTTACAGCGCCTGCATGTCCTCTAGACAGCTCCTCTTCTGGGTTGCGTCCTAGACGAGCGTGCCTGCATAGGCTCCCTTTCTTCCAAGACGTTTCATTACCCAAACTAGGGAACATCATGAGTGCTCTTCCTTCTTGCACTGATGATGTTACCTAGTTGGGTAATTAAATGTCTGCAAGAAAACAGCTAAGCTCAGAGAGCACCTATGACCCTCATTTCAACCCCGAGCTACAAATATTCTTGTCTATTGGTCCATTCACCTTTCTACTTTTCATCCTATTCTCTTTCTTTCCTTCCTTCTTTCCTAGCATAATAAAACTTCTCAAGGGAGGCTGTCATTAAAATAGATTGGAGGGCAAAAGTCTCAGGATTCTCACACCCACCCACCAAATCTTGCCAATATTTTAGAAAGCAAAAAACTGCAAAATTTCTCAGATGGAAGCCATGAAATTTAGAACCTAAAAAACTTAACACTTCAGAGTCAAAATCAAGTACTCTTCAAGTCGTGTTGGATTTATACTATACCTAGGAGATGCCAGGGCAATCCCTAGTGATATTTGAATTATTTGACAAGTATAAATCCAGAATTATTGGCTAAGACTGCGTAGTACTTCAGATCCAAAAATAAAAGGATATCTGGAAATGCATTACGGCTGCCCACAAATTCTCCAAAGTATTCTCAGAGGAAGAAGGGATTTAAAGCACTACACAACTCCGTTGTGACCAGCATAATTTCCCAGGTGACTTTGATCTTCAGCCTGTGTTTATTCACCCCATAGAGCCACAACCCAGTTTTATTTGGGCTTAAGGCATATTGACAACTGTGGGCTGTGCTTTCTAAATCAGTGATAACTTTTGTATTGTGCTTGTCCGTCTTAACTTTCCTGAAGCTTTATTTAAGNAATCTCTGCTCCAACCGCAATCCATTTCCCTTTATTTTTGGAGTATCTAGTGCAAAACAAAATTGAAAGCTAAAGTACCCAGTTTATTATCGCTGTTATCCCCCCAAAAAAGGCTGAATTTCTTCTGAATATATTTCCATTACCGACAGCTGAAAATTTTTTTGCCCATTTGTTGACAAGAAATGATCTGTTAATTATCCAACAATGCACATTTTTTCTTTGGCAATGGAACTTGAAGTAGGGAAGTAGGAAGGTAGGATGGTAGATGGTAGGACGGGAGGGAGGGAGGGAGAAAGAAAGGACGGAAGGAAGGAGGGAAGGAAGGGAAGGAAGGAAGGGCAGAAAATGAGGGAGATTTGTTTTAAAAAAAAGTAATTAGAACTGCCCATTAGGAAGGAAAGAACCATTGCTAATTATTTCAGGCATCTGAAGCCAAAAAGTATCTGAGGTGAAGAGCAAAGGATCAGAACATAAGAGCAGGCGAACTCCATCTTGGAAATATCCTGCCAGCAGCAGCCAAAGGGAACTGAGCTACAACCAGTTTGGCTGGAGTCCCAGCACCATCTGTGTAACATTTTACGCAGTGTGAAATGAGAACCTAACTTGAAAACACTTTTTTTTTTAGTCCCGCATTACATAGGTGAGATACGAGAGAGAGAAATTCTTCCATAAAGAGGGGTTTTTTTTTTTTATAGCAGCTGAAAGTATGAGATGAGAAAACTCAAGTCCATTCATATTTCCTCCTCCAACTTAAGTGGAAAGTCTTATCCATTCCTTTCATCCAAATCTGTAGCATAGGGTAGAAATTAATGCGTACTGTCCTCCATCTAGACTTGGAATAAATTTTTAAAAAAAATTGAAATTATGACGATCAGGAATTTTTCAAATTTACTATTAGTGTTACTGTGATTGTTACCAGCATAGGTCTGTGAGGGCGAACCCATGGCCCGAAGTGGCACATGGAATAGGGGTGAAATCCAGCAGGTTCTGACAGGTTCTGGAGAACCGGTAGCAGAAATTTTGAGTAGTTCGGAGAACCGGCAAATGCCACCTCTGGCTGGCCCCAGAATGGGTTGGGAATGGAGATTTTGCAGAATCCTTCTCCCGGGATTTGGGAGGGAATGGGGATTTTGCAGTATCCTTCCCCTGGAGTGGGGAGGGAATGGAGATTTTGCAGTATCCTTCCCCTGGAGTGGGGAGGGAATGGGGATTTTGCAGTATCCTTCCCCTGCTGTGCTCACCAAGCCACACCCACAGAATCGGTAGTAAATGAAAATTGAATTTCATCACTGTATAAACCAGTCTTTTTAAAAATTTGGCAGCTTTTAAACTTGACGGGCTCTATATCACTCTGGCCTCCCCAGGCCTGTTGAACAAAACCATAGAGTCTTTTGAAAGAGCGTCACAGCATGGGCCAATCTTATTTCTGCAGGGTAGATATTCTACATGGAGGGAGCCACCACAGAGGTCCCTTCTTCTTAGTCCCACTAGATCAGGGGTCCCCAACATGTGGGCCGTGGCCTACTAACAGGCTGTGGCCTAATTGCCACTGGGCCATGTCAAGGGTCGGTGCCCACATGCCCATACAAATATTGTCGTGGGCGCTCACGGTCTCACTCAGGAAGAGCTGAATTGTGTCCATAAAGACCCTTTGTGATTACTTTGCACGCTTACTTCGACTGGTGGTTGTAGTTGTGACTTCTGGGGGGGAGCTGTTCTTCTTCAGACTGGACCGTCGTTCGAAGCAAGGGGCAGGAGCCGCCTTAAGGTCATCCAAAGGAGCCGTTAGCAAGGAGTGCACAGGAGACCTATCTTTGTATCGGTCCTCAAAAGAGGGTTTCTTAGAGGAGGTATAGCGAGCGGAGAGTTGGGACACTACAGGAAGCAAAGACAATGGGCGTTAAAAGCAACCTGGAGGGAAGCAACTTAGAACTGGGGAGAAATTTCCTGACAGTGAGAACAATTCATCAGTGGAACAGAAGTTGCCTCCAGAACTTGTGAATGTTCCAACACTGGAAGTCTTTAACAAGATGTTGGATGTAGAATAGATGTTATTCTATTCTATTCTATTCTATTCTATTCTATTCTATTCTATTCTATTCTATTCTAACTTTGTCTGAAGTGGTGTAGGGTTTCCTGCCAAGGCAGGGAGTTGGACTAGAAGACCTCCAAGGTCCCTTCCAATTCTTTTATTCTATTCTATTCTATTCTATTCTATTCTAATCATTTGTCTGAAGTGGTGTAGGGTTTCCTGCCTGAGCCGGGGGTTGGACTAGAAGACCTCCAAGGTCCCTTCCAACTGTTATTCTATTCCATTCTATTCCATTCCATTCCATTCCATTCCATTCTATTCTAACTTTGTCTGAAGTGGTGTAGGGTTTCCTGCCTGAGCTGGGGGTTGGACTAGAAGACCTCCAAGGTCCCTTCCAACTCTGTTATTCTATTCTATTCTATTCTATTCTATTCTATTCTAACCATTTGTCTGAAGTGGTGTAGGGTTTCCTGCCTAAGCAGGGGGTTGGACTAGAAGACCTCCAAGGTCCCTTCCAACTGTTATTCTATTCCATTCTATTCCATTCCATTCCATTCCATTCCATTCTATTCTAACTTTGTCTGAAGTGGTGTAGGGTTTCCTGCCTGAGCTGGGGGTTGGACTAGAAGACCTCCAAGGTCCCTTCCAACTCTGTTATTCTATTC